TGTGCAGCCTGGAGATTTGTAGTAGTACTGTCTGCCCAGAACTCTGAGCCATGAATCCAGATGTGGGCAGAACAGGATGAATACTGGGATAATGTATTGCCATCATATATAACTGATGCAGTCACATGATTTCCAAAGAGTTAAGCCGTTGTGCAGTTGTAGGCAAATGAAATGGATGCAACATTTCGTGATGACACAGCTGACCATCGTCAGCTAACACATTTTGTGAGCACTAGCATCTAGCATTGACAAGATTACGTGCCACTTAAAAATCTGTTAACTAGCAAGTCTTTAAGAAAAAAAAACCAAAAACAAACAAAAAAACCACATCTTTTTGGTATATATCCAAATATTCCATTTGATACTGAAAAAAGACCTATTCTGTGTTGATCATTTACTCTTACCATTCATGAATACTTGAACAAAATAATGACATAACAAGGCTGCTTTAAAACAGCATCTTCTTTAGGCATAAACAGTGCCAAAAATTTTTGCTTAAAAATAGTTTAATGCAAAATGGTACGAACATAATCAACTTTATCAATACTGTAACAAACAAAAGGAATCGCAGATGCAGAATTCAATCAGAAAAATGTTAAGCATAAACCAGTTCTACTTAATGTGACAAACATATTAATTGCAATTGTTTGGGTACTACTAATAATTTGAAAACAAAAAAGCAATTAAAAAAAAAGTTTAACACAAATTGGTAACTGAAGGCTGAAGAAGCATTGTGTAATTTATTGAAATCCCTCTTGTCCTAAGTCCATTCAACTCATGAATAAAATGTTACTGATCCTATATGAAATATGTATTATTTTCTTACTCCTTTTTTTTCTAATTCTGGTAAACTGCAGAGAATCCCCTGTGATTGGAATGGTACTTGTTCTCACTGCTTGCCTGCCAACAGCTTTTGGTAATACTTCATAGTCACAAAGATAGGAACTCTTTCCTGTCTGTGTAAGGCATCATAGCAAACATCCTGGGTTTTATAGGTCATAGTGTTCAACCAGTAGCAGGCAATTTCTCTAGCCTTCCATCAGATGCTCTCTATTCTAGAAGGTACCTAAGCATAGTTTAGATGTGTTTCTAGTCTCTTGCTTGTGTCCATTTTCTTTTCAAGAGCTTTATAGTTCATCTTTTATTGAGATATCACATAACATAAAACCTATGAGGTTCCTAAGAGAGTTGGGAACTAGGAGTAGTGCTTCCACTGCTGGAACAACTAATCCTGCTCCCTGTCTGGATACTCATGAAATGCTCCAGTAGCTGCACGTTGTTCTGCATTTCTTTCTTCCCGTGAGTTTCTCAGGAACCCATAAAAAGGCAGGACCTGTGCAAGTGCCTGTGTGTCTCTGTGTGTTGCTGTTGTCGTGTAGGTGTGCAGTAGATCCAACACTTTGGAAAAGAATCTTGGCTGTACGTAGGCAGGTGGATGTAGTGTGGAGTTACCCTTCCAGCCTCTGAAAACAGATAGGTCATCCACCCAGCAAAATGGCCAGGGCACTTCTGGCACAGGGCTTCTTTTTTACCTTTATTAAAACAAAAAGGATGCCAAAACAGCAGAGAGGTCTTCAAGTAAGTTAACGTTAAATTTTTCATCATTAATTAAGCACTCCAAAAATGGGATAAGACAATTAATTAATCATACATATGCAATTCTGTTCCACTTTGCACTGGAAATATTGTTTTTCTCTAACTTAAATTAGTATGCACTAATTACTTGATATATTGTAGTATATTTTCCCCTAAGTGTTTAGATAATTACTGTCCGCAACAGCTGGTAGAAGGTTCCCAGTACAGTACCTGTATACCCTGTAAATTGAAAGTTTGCACTGGACCTCATACTCAGCATAATGGATATGGTGCACAGGATAAAAAACAAATTAAATCTTGTGAAAACTTACAGAAGCTGACCTTAATGGATGGTGATGATATCACTGTGCTTATAAGACTGTTTGCAGTGTCCATGTAAGCACATTTGATATGCCATAGAATCATAAAATGTCTTGGGTTGGAAGGGGAATCCCCAGCCAGCTCAGGCTGCTCATCCAACCCAGCCTTGAATGCCTCCAGGGATGGGGCACCACAGTTTCTCTGGACAGCCTGTGCCACTGCCTCACCATTCTATGTGTGAAAAATTTTCTACTAATATCCAATCTAAGTCTTCCTCTCTTAGTATAAAAGTGATCCCCCTTGTCTTATCACTATCTCTCCATGTAAAAAGTTGGTCTCTGTTGTGTTTATAAGATACCTTTAAGTACTGGAAGGCTGCAATTAGGTCTGCTTGGAGCTTTCTCTTCTCCAAGCTGAACAAGCCCAAGTCTGTCAGCCAGTCTTCACAGGAATGCTGCTCCAGCCCTCTGATCATCTCCATGGCCCTCCTTTGGACACAAAACAACAGCTCTATGTCTTTCTTGTGCTGAGGATCCAGCATCATCTGAGACTTCTATTTTCTTTATATTGAAGAATAAGAAAGAGTTTGCAGTACAAAATAGTTTGGTAAATATCTACTGCAACTGCATGAACAAAACTGACAACGGACTTTCAATCCATGTGTAATCTTTAACCTTTTGGTGGGGAACTTACCTGACATATAAAGAAAATTAAAAACTTCATATGTCTTGAATAACCTGTGAGACCCTTTCCATTGAATTAGCAAGGGCACATGGTATTTCTGACACTATGGGAAGATGCATACAGATGACACTCTGCTTATAATACCATAATCACAAAATTCTGCCCACAGACATTCACAATTTTTTTAAAGCATTTTGGTATGAGCTGCTGTCATTAAGATTTGCAAGTCACTGACATTGACATTTATACTTGTTTGTGCTGGAGAGCTGCTGAAGTCAGGAACATAATGTCCAGTGAACCATTGCATGAAGTAATGGTTTATCTGTGTCACTGGATTTTTAATTAAAGCACAGCAGAATGTTACAAACTTTGGGTTTTGTTCTGTCATCTAGAATAAATGAAATAAAATAAGAATGCTTATATTCACCTTTGCTCTTCTTTTTTACAATACTAAGATATTTTATATCTCACCATAACTGATTATGATAGTAGCCACTGTATGTTTTTGTCAACAAGCAGAAGCCACTTTTTAGAGACATCCTAACCCTAAAAAGATGTATGCATGCATATAACTTTATGTTGTTTAAATAATCTGCTGGAGGTGAATAGCACTGTTTTCCATATAATAAAGAAGAGTGAAGTAGTAGCAACAGAGTACTAAACTGAGATAAAGAAGCACTTTGTAAATGTTCAGTTTCTCTAGATGGTATTTCACAGTATAGCAGTCTTCTTAAAAAAAAAAAAAAACTTCAGAAGTCACCTGGACCTAAAATACTGTTTTTGTACATAATGACTGATATTTTGCTGAGAGAATAGTCCTCTGGATGGATGATCATACAATCATAGAATGATTCATCATTTTATTTCATTAGATGGTGTTTGAAATGGGAGATGCTCTGTTTGTGTGATAATTGATAGTAGAAACGAAACTGTCTGTTATATGGCCACTGAAGGAATGTATGGCAGCTTAATATTTCTTAGCAGCCTATTGGCATCAGTAGTTTTTCCTTCAGCTTAAACACCTTTGGACAGGGGCTTGGCATGTAACCTGTGGGACATGTGTATTGAAACAAAGTGTGGCTCTGGACATGGAAGTGCCCCGACAGAATTAGTTTCTTCTTCAGCAATTCGCATTTTAGGTAATGATGTACCTCTCCTCATGCAGGGAACTTGTTTTCTTCAGAGGTGCTGACAGTGATGTGCCCCAGTGGCATCCAGGGAGGTCTCCTTTTGGGCAACCTTGCCTTACTGTGTTGTTTGGCATGGCTCTGATTTAACTGTAAATGAGGCCAAATGCCAGATGCATCGTATAAACTAATGATAACTGAAAAACTGTGCTGTATTTGGTGTGCAGTGAGAAAACAGATGGGTTGTTTCCTTTTAACTTTGTCACAGAAAGCTTCAAATGATCTTTCTTTTTTTTTTTTTTTTTTTTTTTTTTTTAATTAGTCACTGAGTAACCTATTCAATTCTGTCTCATTCATCAAGTGAGTTCTTCACGTAAAGACATCCTGTCAGGTGCAGCAGACAAAGCAGCAAACAGCATTGGTACTATTAATGACTCATAGAATGATATTGCAAGGATGGTAAAATGATACCTTATTATCTAGCAGACACTGATCATAATTGTATGATTTATAAAAACAAAACATATCAAATGTGTTGTAAATATGTTCTCCACTGAAGGAAAATAATGCCATTGAAATCAATTCAGTGATAAGCTGTATCATCCTTCTGAACACAAAATGGGAGGGAATGTTTTACATATCCTTGGGATGAAAGGAGTTATCACTCTCAGCTATTCGTTTGGTAATGTTCATTTAATACTCATGCTATATCAGACATCATAAATCTTTCACTATTTTACTTTATGACACTGCAGAACTCTGATAGTTATGCTCTGTGTAAAATGTAATTCTCTGGTTTACCTGCCTGCTTGGATTGAACTGGCAAAGCTTAAATTGCTGTTGTGGTTTCTACCATACTTTGCTCATATCATATTGTTGTAATGAACACATTGTGCATATAGCACAGCGTTCATCTTCTTAAGGCAGAGTACAAGCCTTTTCTTTCTTGCAAAGAATGAGTAATTGCACTTGGATTTTAATATTTGTGTTTGCTTTTGGGTTTATTAGCTCTAACTGAAAACTCAGTAATTTGTGCGCTGCATCTGACTAGGTCTTGAAAAAATGGACTAGAATTTCCCTGTACCTGTTCTGTGGATTTAAGCTATAACAAAATAGCACTGTGGCAAAAATGGACCTGTACTCTACTGGTTTGCTAGATGGCATTCTCATCATTACCAGCTTGAGGTTATGTTGAAAAACAAAGAAAACTAATTGTCACTGGTAAGAGCCTATGGCATAACAAGTCTTTTATTGTACCTCTCCTGAATTTGTTTTTTGATGTTTGTTCTGCAGACTCCAGAAGAAGGAGCCTCTACAACCATCTATGCAGCAGTATCACCTGAGATGGAAGGAGTTGGCGGCTGCTACCTTTACAATGAGAAAAGGACAAAATCAGCTGACATAGCATATGATGAGGAGCTGCAAAGAAGGCTCTGGACAGAAAGCTGCAAGATGGTTGGGATTTCTGATGAATCCAGCAGAGCTCCCTAGAAGAAGCCACTTCCAGCTGAGTAAATGAAATACATTGGCAAGCATCTAAGGTGAATTCTTGCAGCATCAGTCATCATCCTGGAAATCACTGTTCAGTCCCAAAGGCAAACATGAACAGCTCTGTTCTTCACTCAAACCCCTAGTCTGCTAGGGTGTAGGGGGAATATTCCCACAGAAAGATGTACGTGGTTGGTTTTAAATCTGACCATCAGTTTTGTAAATCATGATGTTTCAGTCCGTGATTAAAATACAATCTTTAACCTTGTGCAGAGTTGAGTTTTCATTTTTTGTTCAAGAAGAGAATACTTTCCCTGGTGAGCACTCTGTATCTATGGCATCTTGAACTTAAGCCACCTTTGTACATACAGTTTACTCTTTCATAATCAGTTTTAAAACTTGCTGCTTCTTTCCTTAAGCTTCATTAATCTTTAAGACTCTTTATACCGAATGTCAGTTCATTCTAATTCAGACATTTGGCATTCATTATAATTATATTGTTTCTATCATAACATTAGTTTTATATGTCAAATTTTATCCAGTGGTTTTAAGTGAAAATGAGAACAAAAAACAATATGTAAAATCATATGGTCTTAAGACAGGATGTGGAATTTAAATGTTTTCAGATGAGGTTTAAATAAGAACCTGAAGAATGAGGAAGGGATCAAATGTCAAAATAATGGCATGTATTGTGGCAGTGGGTGCATTCAGCTTGTTGTCTCTGCAGTGGGCATAGATTACTTGTCTCAATTTCTCCTGAGCCTATGTAAACTTGTTTCTTGCCTTTTCTTTAGCAAGGAGGTTCACTCATTTACCCATTGTTAAATGAAGAGTCATTTCCCTCGGTTAGTATTAAACCTGGTTTATATGAGTTTCAGGACTAAAGTTGGTGATTTGCAAAAGACATCAAACGGTGCTGTCCACCTCATCTGTGTTGCTAAGGGTTTTGGAGTTTGAGACTTTCAGCATGTCCTCTTTAGGTTGTTTCTTTTCTGTATTGAAAAATAGTCCATGCTTACCCACTTGAATTACTTACACAGAAGCGACAGGATATTTTTCATTTAATTATGCATCTCTCTCCTAAGAATTCCTAACAGAGAATTGCCTTTTTTTTTTTTTTACTGTTACTGAGAGTGGAACTGATATTTTTTATGGAACTATATTTGATAAACCCCACATTTCTTTTCGGAGTGGTAGAGTGGCCAGCTCAAATACTACTTGTTTTGAACAGTGAGTTCAGTTCTACCTGTATATGCCATTCAAGAAAAATGTTCACATCTATGAAGTGAGGAACAAAATTGATATGTGACAATACAGTTTGAGATTCTACAAGCTCAAATAACTAAAAGACAGAACTGGATTGACAATAGTTCAACATTTTAACCGTGAAGGTGATAAAGTGTTGGAATAACTTCCTGTCAAGTTTAGAAGTTGCCCCCAAATTTCTCTCCTCAGCAGAAGAAATTTTCCAAGCATGAATGGACTCTGTGACTAGGGAACCTGAAATCTTGATGTTAATGGCCTTCTCCCATGTCATTAATTTTAGGTATTGTCTGGAAAAGCAGCACAATCCTATAAATTCCATCACATTTCCTTTTTTAAGATACACACAATGATGGAAAGCAATAGGTGGCTGTAAAGCTTATATTTACTTTGAAGAATTGAAAATCACTGCATGAGAGAACTAAATGCAAAAATATTGTTGTGCTCTCATTTGCAACAGATTATAAATAATATAAATGTATTTCTATGCACTGAGCCCCACAATAATATCCCCTTTGGGCTTTTTTGCTCAGACCTGGTGCTTCACTGACCATATCTCCAGACTTTGGTTTAGAGAGAAATCACATCTGAGAGAAAGAAAACATACTGGCATGCCCATAGAATAGCAAGGAGATGCCAAGACAAAAAATAGTATGAACAACGAAAAGCAGATGAGAATGAAAATAATAAAAATCTGAAGGAGAGCATATTTCCCCTCTGAATTAAGTAATGCATGATTTATTTCTGTCTCCTTAGAGTTAGTATGTACGTGGGTTAGCAGCAGGAAGTTTATCACTCACTCACTATAGCACTTTCTCCGTATGACTGGCTGACTTTTTTTGGTAACTGAATGTAGTGTTTGTGAAATGTGCCAGACTGACACCCTGGGAACTAAAATCCTCTGTTTATTCACGGATCATGCACAGGATGCACTAAGCCTGCTAGACAGCCAACATTTTCGTGTTGCCATAGCATTCCCACAGAGCATCACTGCTGCTAGAAGTATGCCTAGGATTACTCAAATTAGATAGAACCAAATTACCTTCAAGATTAACTCTATCAAAGCTACACAATTTTTAAACAACCAGTTTTATAGAATCATAAAATGGCTTGTGTTGGAAGGCATCCCAAAGATCATCAAGTTCCAACCCCCTGCCACAGGCAGGACCACCAATCTCCAGATCTGGTACTAGACCACATTGCCCTGGGACCCATCTGACCTGGTCTTGAGCACCTCCAGGGATTGAGTATCCACAGCCTCTCTGGGCAGGACCTCCCCACCTTCTCTGTGAAGAACAGAGTAGCATAAGGAACGGTAAAATTGCAAATACTAAAGGGAGTTAGCCACTCTTTCAGTGTACTCTGAACCACTTTGGTCTCAGTCCCGTGAGATCTGTTTTAATGGTATTGAAAACAATTTGTGTGAACCAGGAATACAAATTACAGATTGTGCCTGAAAGAGGGAAAACTATGTCCTAAAATCAGAGATTTCTAGAACAGTGGAACACCATGAAATTATAGTTGAGCTAATTGTAAAACATTATCTTAAGAACTAGAAGTGGTGAATTGTGTCTACTTTGCAGTGTCATATAGGCATATGAGCTTGTCTTGAGCAAAATCCAGTGTTGTTATAAAGTCTTGCATGTCACTATGAGTCCTCCCCTTTGACAGCTGGAAAAATCCAACTTCATCCTTAACATATCTGTTTAGGGATAAGCACGTATATATATGTACCATATAGAAGCAAGACAATAATTTTACCTCTGCGTACAATGCTAAGAATTCCTTGACATTTCACATTTCAAGAACATGGAATTTTTGAAGACTGGAGAAGCCTGTTTTTTACTTCACAGAAGATATGGCTTAGAGATGGCTTCTGTCCTTATGGGAGATATGCATATATATGCAACAAACAAAAACCCAACCTGAGAACTTTTCAATCTTGCAAAGAAAGGTAAATCAGAGTTCAATAATTGTAAACTGAAGTTGGACAAGCTAACCTTACAACAGGAAAATAAATCGTCTTTCTGTGAGAGTAATTACATACTGGAACACATAGATCTGAGAACTGAAGATAATGAAAGGATATCTCTTTTCCATAAAAGGCAAGGAGGCCAGGTAGGCTTCTAAGCAAAGTAGGTCAGTCACATAGAAGTCATACATTGATTTCCCTTAGGTCCAAAGCAAGAGCACTTATTTCTACTTGTATGAGGGTGGCCCAATGTTCACACTTCTAAAATGGATATTTCCATATCAGTACTCACCCAAAATAATGTTTAATTCAAAAATCCAGATGTAGCCTCACAAGGGAGCGAGAGGGAGGATCACTTTCCTCAACCTGCTGGCCATGTGCTTTTTAATGCACCCTGGGATACCACTGACCTTCTTGGCCGCAAGGGCACACTACTGGCTCATGGCCAACCTGCTGCCCACCAGGACACCCAGATCCCTCTCTGCAGAGCTCCTCTCCAGCAGCTCAGCCCCTAACCTGTACTGATGCTATTTAAACAACATTACCTAAAGAGTGAACCTGCATGGGTAATAAATAACGTGTTAACTTTTATGGCAATTAACTAGTTCATCTGCAAACTGTGGGGAAACTATGTACTGGAAGAATAACTGCTGTTATTCACACAAAGCAAGGTAGATGAATCTTTGCTTCAAGTTCAAAATTGATCGAAGCCCTAAAAGTAGTACCTCTAGCCACACTTCCACAATGTTTTGTAAATATTAAAAACTATTGCTCAGTTTTTGCACAACTATCAATTGCTATGGTATACCATATAAAAAAGGAACCTTATTACTTGTCCTCAAGATTACTATTGCATCTTCCAAATGCACAGTGATATTATTGCTAAATACAAAAATACATGGCAGATATTTAATTAAGTCCTCATCCTAAATAAGCTATGATCATGCAAACTTTGGCTTTTGTACAGTTTAGGAGTGAGAATGTCCTTGCTCAATCCATGACATGGTTTATGTTCCAGCTGTCACCACAGAAAGACAAAATCAGATCCCAGTGAAATTAACATGAAATCTGTCACAGATAAGACATGGATAAATATATGAGTTCCCTGAGATATGATTTTAAAGTGGTGGAGGTTGAGGGAATTGACCAATCTGCAATGGCAGAAGGTCAATGCAAAATGTGAATTGCACAATATAAGGCCAGGCAAGACAATAAGACATTTTAAGAATAACTGTTTGAAGGTAATTGTTTTCCTTTCTAAAACAAAACTGTGCTTCAGCAATACACTGAAGTAGCTGTGAGGCACACTGGGTACAACAGGAGATAAAGTATTTAGAGATAAACTCTCTGGGTTCAAAAAATATGTGGAAGTACTAATTTATATTTTGAAGAGTATCCCTGACATGTCTATTTGAGGGCTTAACCAAACAATATTCCACATCACTTGTAAAGTCTTCTAAACAAAAGCCACAGATGAGCAAATATCAGATTTTTGAGAAGAGTGAAACAATTTGAAGGTGGTGAGTGTGCAGAATTGAAACACATTGTCACTGATATTATTAAAAAGTCAGCAAAGATGTCAGTATGGGACTCGCAACAAAGAGAATCCTTGTCTACTGAGATACTAGAGCAGACCTGGGATTTAGCACATTTCTCGTAGCTTGCCTGCAAAGTAGTCTTGAGCGTTGCCAAGAAGAAAACATAGCAGCAGCCAAGTGTGCTGTTTCCAGATCTATGTAGTTGTTAGCTTCAGTATTGCACCCATCAACGCTTGTTAGCATCTCTCTTTTTGGAAATGGAGCCATGCCAAGAATTCCTTTCTCACAAGCACTCAAGAGCCACAGAAGAATCAAAAGATAGCAGTGACCTTTATGTATTTCAACAAAAGCCATGCAGATTGAAACCAATTCCTTTAAGTGAAAGATGACTTAATCCCAGGATGAAAAAAAAAAAAAAAGACCGTGTCATTTCTTGAGTGACATTTTACCTGTTCACCATTTTACATATAGAATGCAAAGCAAACAACATTATGA